GAGAGAGAGAGAGAGAGAGAGAGAGAGAGAGAGAGAGAGAGGATCCGCATACTCTAAGAGTAAGTCTTGATTGACTTACTTTATTCAATAACTTATGTTTAAATCAAATTTCAACAATTCAACCTTTAAATTAAAAGTTCTTAATGAATAGATTAAGTTTGCAAATTTTTTAAAAAATTGAAAACTATTTTATATTTCGTTTTATTAATTCAAATTAATGGATAATCATAAAAACATTTTATACGTTGATTTGAATATATATAATGAAATATCATATGATTTTCTAATTTTTAAGAAATTTCTAGACTTTATACATTAAGAATTTTTAATGAAACGGTTGGATCATTAAAATTTGTTATAAAAATGAGTGATTAAGTGAAGTAAATCTATCAAGACTTATTTTGGAGTAAGTGAATCTTTTCTATATATATTTATGTATATTAAATTTCGGTTACTTAAAGAGTAAGTCTTGGCAGGCTTATTCTTTTCAATAACGTTCTATATTAAATTTCAACGTTTATGTATACTAAATCTTTATGGTAATCAGATTCAAGGATTGCAAAATATGTTTGAGTATCTTCTAGATGCTGAAAGCCAAATAGGAACAGATAAAGAGGATGGAAATGTTGCCAATTACTCTGTAGGAGCTGGGCAGATTGTACCTGTTGCTGCTGGTGCCGGGGATACAAACATATGTGGGGGTATAATTCAGTTGTATTGGGATAATATTTTGGGCAGGTGTTTGGATTTCTGTGAACAAGTTCGTCAATCAGCCCTGAAGGTCAGAATCTGGCTTCTATTATGGCAAAAATTTGACATTCTTAAGCCAAATGCTATAGAACAATTAAAATAGTCTTGGAACCAATAATAGTTAATGAACAGAAGAGTGTATGCTTGTGTATTGTATTTATGATTGTTTCTATTCCTCCAAATTTTTTGTGTTGATGGGTGAGGGTGAAGTAAAGGGCATGATAAATTAGGTAAATGCTTCTCAGGGTAGTTTAAAGGTGAATCTTGCAGTTGCTAGTTATCAGTCTATTGCAATATGGTTTAAATTATCAGTTGTGTTGATGCTTATTTTCTTTGGAAGATTAAGTGCCTGGTTGTATTAGCATTATCTAGATTTGCAAACGGAGAAGTGTGACTTCCAATGTACTTTTTCTCTAGCAAAACATTATTGCTGTGGCCCAAGTTCAGTTTGAATAAGTTGCAATGTAAAAACAACCAGGACCTTAGCATTCCACTGAAAATGGTCTAGTTTTCTTTTGCTTTTGCATATTTAGAATAAGGGATTTGTTACTACTGCAGATAGTTGAAGTTGTGCTGCGCCAAGGTCTTGTTCATCCAATCACCTGTGTTCCATACCTTATAGCACTTGAAACAGATCCTCTGGAGTCAAATTCAAAGTTGGCTCATCATCTTCTGATGAATATGAATGAAAAGTATTTCTCCAATATATAGTTTTGGAATGTGGTGCATTTGAACTTGGTTTTATTAGCTAATTATAGCATCTTTTCAGGTACCCTGCATTTTTTGAAAGCCGCTTGGGTGATGGACTTCAAATGTCATTTATGTTTATGCAATCTATTTGTGGCAGTTCTGAAAATTTTGATCATAGGATCCAATCTAAAATCCCTATTTCTGGAAAAGGGAAGCCTGATGCTGGGTTACTTGCACAAGCTAAACTTGGGGTTTCTCGAATATACAAGCTCATTCGAGGGAACCGGGTATCAAGGAACAAATTTTTGTCCTCGATTGTGCGAAAGTTTGATAATCCAAGATGGAATAAATTAGTAATAGCTTTTTTAACGTAAGTTCTAACTGTTGCTATTCTATGCTTCTTATATTATATGGGTTCTTAAATGATCTTTTTCCTTCTTTTCTTTCTGCAGATACTGTACTGAAGTCCTAGCATTGCTGCCATTCATTTCGCCTGATGAGCCTCTTTATTTAATCTATGCTATCAATCGAATAGTTCAAGTAAGGGAAGGGCCACTAGAAGCGAACTTTAAAGCCTGGTGTTCAAGCATTTTACGTTATAGCACACCTTATGGGAATGGAATGTGTCAACAGGGGCCAGAGGAGCCTACTGTTAACACCCAAGTAATGTCAGTGGATTTGAATGGAACATTTCAGCAAAATGTAGATGCTCAGCCCAATTCCAATGATATGAGATCACTAGATTTAAATGGATCAAATCATCAACTGCCTGAAGCAAATTTACATGCTGTGGGTTTCACAGATTCTGTTTCCTTCTCGAAAGATGATCTGGAGAAAGTTCAGGTATTTTGAAACTCGCAGTCATTAACTTTGTCAATGAGTGTTTTTTTTTTTTTTTTTTTTTT